CGGAATGCCTGGATTGTAACTGTAGCGTGGCCACATTGTAAATCTGGTAATAAACCTGTACACGACCTCCCTACCTTTATCTTCTCAGCCAGCTGCATCTCTTCAAGTTGGGCCAAAAAAATGCCTGCTTTCTCCATTGTGCTTGAATTCCTCACGGCATGCCAATAAGAAACAGCAGAGTGGGCGTACGGGAACATTCTTCAGCTGAACACCAGTCAAGGGGGATTTTTCATTAATATCTAGGCTTCCGAAAATTCTTGAACTTCTAAGTGCTCTGCACACAATCCCATTTCTCTGTGACGTGTAACTCTTCAGCTGCCCCACTGAATCCTCTCACTGAATCCTCTCACTGTAAAGAGCTTTGAGATGGTGTGCATCACGGAAAGGTTCTTTATACAGTACATTCATAACTGACTGATCTGAGAAGAGAGTGCTCATTGTTATTCTCATTGAGTAAAGGTCACAGAACATAGAGACAGATCTTTCTCCACAGTCCACTCTGTCCATTCTCCCACAGCTCCCACACTAGCGTGTCAAGAACGGACAATTTCTTCAGTGAAGGTGTGTCTCTCTACTCAAGCCACACAAGCTTCCACACATTTGGTGCAGTCCATAATTGCTTAACTGCATTGATCGTCTACCTCCTGGAACCATGGCAAAACATTTCTAAAGCCTTGAACAGCTGACAATTGAAAAAGACCCACCGTGTCAACCTGTGGTCCCTGACGGCAGGTTTGCATATCTGCAGCTGTTTGGCCTGAGCTCATGCAGAGTGCTGGCCATTGAGACCTGTGCAGACCGGGCTTCTCTGAAAGGTTCCCCTGAGCTTTTTGAAACAAGAGAATAGACCCAGAGAGCAAAAGGGCATCTGGGTGCAAAAACAATCCTGCAGTACTCTTAATAGTAATACAGCAGGTGCTGCTCCGCAGGAGGTGTGTTTGAGGAGGTGCAATACAAGCTCTTGCTCAGGGGTACTCAGCTCTGCTCTTTCACAGGCCAGCCTCTTCGGCTTTTTATCCCACTCTAATTCAGTCTAATTCAGATAGATTGCTTTGTTTCTCTGGGCCTATTGAATCATTTTATGGCAGATCGATTTAAAGAGACCTGTGGAAGAAGGAGGGTACATCAGTGCCTCTCCGCATTGTGGCGAACAGGCATGAGCCACTGCTGGAGTGCTTTGTCACACTGGGACGGCACGCTCGCCTCAGATTCCACAGTAAGTCGAGGTGCACATTCAATCGAAGCTTCAACCTTCCCAGCGATGTCAAATTCCTAAGCTCAGAAGATTGAACTAGCGTCCACCACCCCAGCCTTTGCACCAGACCAGTTCCAGATGAAGGCAACAGTCAGGCGAGAACTGATTGCAAAGCTTCATGCCAGGGAGCAACTGATATTGCCCAAGACTCAACAGGCACACAACCAGCAAATGAGGTCATTAATGAGCATCTACCCCAGTACTGCCCACCCAGGCGACATTCAGTGTGCACCACCCCCTCAGACTTCCCGAACGAGCCAAACAATACTGGTGACTTTCAAAACTATAGCATCCATCCTGCAACACTAATTGAAGCTTTTTCCTGTTGAGCTGCGTGAGAGCCCCCATGTCTTTTTTTAAGCATTGTTTTAACTGTGATCACCTCTCGTAAAAAAAAAAAAAGGAAGTGCTTTAGAATAGTCCAGACGGGCTTCATTGTCAAACCGGATGTTAAACAAGAGACCCTTCACAAAAAAAGAACATTAGGAGAGCCGCTGAACTAGATGAGCTTCAGATCTTATCCCCAAGCCTGGAAGAATTAGCCAAATCTTAGTGTCTGTTCTGCTCACGCAGAAACACAAGCGCACTCTGCAGAGCACCGCACGAGCAAGCACGGAATTACTCCCAGACCTGCGCAGGGTCTAAATGAGAGAGTCGGGTTGTGCGCGGCCGGTCTGCTGTGATTCCTAGCCTTTATTAAATACGGCACAAGAGAACAGACATTAGAAGGCTGCACAGGGTACAGAGGTGAAGCAGTAGTGAGGGGAGTCTTGTCTCTCATTTATTTCCCTTTACCACATCTGGCTGAGGTAAACCAACTCTGCACTGTGTCCAGATGTTGAGCAGGTGGAGGCTCAAAGAGGCCCACAATCCCTGCAGGACTGCAGCCTCCACCACTGCTTTAAATCACCAACTGCCCGACTCCATCTGCTTCACGAAACCAACACCACTGGAACTGCATTCAAAGCCAAGCGATCCTCCTCCCCGAATTCTCAGTCCAGGGCTTAATGCACAGTGAAACAGGGCTGAGAAAGAATGTTTGAAATGACAAGTGAAATTACTGTGCCGCTTTACCAGGGTAATCCTAGTTGAAGGGCAGAGAATTTAGCCCCTCCCCCAGGCTACTGCAATTCTCTCCTGTTTCCCCCAGTTCATCAACAAGAGTATCTACATCACAACCAAGACAGCCGAGTCAAAGACAGTATATTATACAGTATAACCTGTGGCTTATTATTATCATATTAATAAAATATAATAATAAAAAGTATTCTAAATAGGAACAAGTGCAGGTTTATTCCCTGCTGAACAGAGAAGAAAGGAAACACAATGTTTCGGCTGTAGAGCCTTGTTCTTCACACCTGAAGGCTCCACAGCTGAAATGTTGCTTTCCCTTTCTTCTCTTTTCAGCGTGGAATAAACCTGCACTTGCTCCTTTGCAGCCTGCGCAGGCTGACACAGCTCCCTACTTGAACAGATTATAAAAAATGTCCACGTTTGACTTCTGCTAAGTCCAAAAACACTCCAAAAAAACGAGGCATCCTTGATAAACTGGGTGTCCCTGTAAATAGCTAACTAGGTAAAAATACTTCTTGCCTATGTAAATCACTGCTGAATTTCAGTTAATGAAATCAAAATGATCAGCCCTATATGATAAATACGATATTCCCACTTGAGCTGGTCGAAAGCTTTTTGTGTAACCATTGAAAGGACAGAAAAGGGGAAGTTCTGGCTGGTTACATACAGTATGTCATTGGCAACATGGGTCTTTAATGATCAAGCAGTCAGGATCTCCATTTAGTGTCTCATCTGAATGATGGCACCTCCAACAGCGCAGTGTCCCTTCTCATCATACTGATGCAGTGATTTCCACAGGCTAGGGTGGGTCATTTAGCTTGCGTAATTGCAGTACAGTGGTTCCGATTTACGTTTTGAAATTGGACCCCCCTCGTGATCGACACAGAACATGCTTTTGTCCCCAACTCAGTGGACTCTGTGACACAGCAAAGCTCTTACCCTCAACACAACCCATTCATAACACAACCCATTTAAAGCCGGGGAGAGGAGACCGAATGAGACAATAAGGAAAATAGGGGAAATGTTTATGTTTTTTCTTTAAATCACATAATAGCATTGTGGCCTCTGAGAAAGTAAACATTTCTACAAGACAACAAGACTGTAGGCTGCTGTGAATAGGACTGGGGGCGTTGCTCTCCATGAGCTGACAATAACAAAGATCCACATGTCCACACGGTCACAGTAAAATCGGTTCATGACTAATTCCTCATCATAAGCAAGAGTCTGGAACAATAAGCCTCCACCGTGCTTCCCTCCCTGGTGAATTGAGCTGATCCCCTGTCCTCCTTCAGAAACAGCTGAATGAGACCCTTGGGTCAATCTGCTCCTACCAAAAGTGTTCAAAGTCTCCTTTTGTCTGTAACCTTTCTTAAATCCTGGGGAAACGAGAGGCTGGTTCAGAGTAATTTCTCCTGGGTTTACAGGAATGTATCACAGCGTGAAAATGTTTTTTCTTTTCTCCAAAGGGGTGTGGAGTGCCACATGCATTACAGTCAAACAGCTGTTGCCTTTTCCCTGTGAACCTTCACAAGACCGAGGAATTTGCTGGTTCTGCCTGAGGGCCTGTCTCTCGGGCTCACTCGCATGACCACAGCAGACCCGAGCTCACGCACCGATGAGGACATCTCCTGCGGCCACCCGTGAGCTCACAGTGCCCTTGCACGTTGGAATCCGTCTGGATGAGTGCGTATCTAATGTCACTGTGGGAGGGGGGCACAACACCGACACACTCCCACAAGCAGAGGAGAGGGCAGGGTTAATTCTATTAAAGCTGATCTTTGATGTCACTGCTTCCACTAGGTAATTCGTATTTTACTACATTTTGGTGTACCAGAGCTCCAAGATGGCAGTATGGAATAGCTACACAAGAACTGCAAAAGGTTATATGAAAAATGGCACCTTCCCTGCTGGTACTTATTAACTATAGATAAACAAAGGCCACTTTCGCTCCACACTGCGAATCTTGTAGCAGACATTCTTAGTAAATTTCTAAAAGTCCTGCAGAAAATAATACAAAGAACAAAAGGTCACAACCAAGAGAAGGCCCTTTTGGTGGCTGGTTGCTAACTGGTATAAGGATCTCCTCCAGCCGTTTCAGCAGAAATGTAAGGAATCGGCTCCGACAACTTGACTGGATAGCTTGCTCCACACTCCCACAGCCCTTTGTGTAAAGACAGGACTCCTGTTCTCAGTTTTAAACGAGCTGCCATGCAGGTTCCCACTTGGGTCCTCTGGGTCGCGTTGCAGTCCTGCGTGCAAACGTCCTGCTGGAGCCCGTGATGCTGTGCTTACTTCACAGCCCTGCCAGGCACTGGCTGCTGTACTAGACTGCCACTAGACTAGCCACGTGCTCTGCAGTCCTGATTCGCCATACTACTGCGGTGTTCCACTGCCCCTGTACCTCCTGGAGCCCTGCCAGGACCCCGTGGAGAGGCCAGTGTAGCCCAACCCAATAATGCAGACACTGCAGTTTTATATTACAGCAAGGAGGTTTTCCCTGAATTTAGCAATATGTTTGTCAGTGAGGGCCCGACCTGTGAGATCATCTCCAACCCTGTACTCTCCCCTCACTATTACACAGAGCCCGGGAGAGTCTCCAGTCAGCTCTACCAGTAAAGGGCTTTTTGTATTTTCCTGAAAGTCCACAGCATTGTACACTGGAAAGACAAAAAGCTCAGCACGTTGTTTTAATTAAAAAATACAAGTGTAAACAAAGCCATAATTTATGAACTTGTTCTACAGGTTAGTTTCAGATACCAAAAGAGAGCAGGCCGGCTTTCGTCTCTGAAAGAAACTCGGTGTGACAGCACAGTCCAGAGAAATATCCCAGAAGTTCTTTAGCATCTCTGGGTATCTGGTGCTGGTCTGAGATCTGAGGACTGGTGCTGCCTCAGGGTCTGTCTTGTCCTCATGGTGCTCAGTGTGGACAGGTCTTCAGATGACCCACTTCTCCGTGCGTGCCTCCACGTCCTTCACCAGCCCCGCCCCCATGACCCGGAAGTCCTCCAGGATGGCTTCCACATTGGGCACAGTGTGAGCTTCCCCTCCCACCACCTCCACGCGGCGCGCGCTCGTCAGGGAGGTCTGAGACAGAAAACCAGACATCAGCACTGACGGGGTACTTATTCAGAAAAATAAACACAAACACCTTAGTCACTGCAGGTCGCTCACTCAGTTCCAGGGTGTGACAGTCGGTGTGCACATCAAGTTGTTAAATCTATACAGGCCACTATGTGAGTCATGGCCGTTCAGTATGTAAAGAAATCTCTCTGTATATTAGATTCTGGAAAACTACCTTTTGGCTCTTATTCTGCCAGCATTCATTAACCTTATGAAGAGATAACTGTTGAGGAAGGTTGTTCCATGAAAGGACTGTAGCAATCCCACTGCTACCACCAGTGACCACCAAAAACACAGCCTCAAAGATGTACAAATAATTCCAATTGGGACAGTTTCTCCAGTATTCACTGATTGTATTAAATGAGCTTTCAGGTGGGTTGTGGTGTATTTAAGGGCGAGTTACTGGGAGAGATAAAGAGAGTAGTCAGGTGGGGTGAATTACGGCAGTAGTAAATACAGTAGTAAGTGTAGTGAAGCAGATGATGGTAGCCCCCCCCCCCATCTCAAGATGCTACTGTTCATATTAAGAAGTGCTTTAGTTTTATTTTGAGCAGACTGGCTTGTTTTTGTTTGAACACCTTTAAAACTAAAACCCTAAACCTTCTGGACCTTATTTTCTCATGAAGAATTTGGATGGAGTGTGAAAATAAATCCGAGCTGAGTGAGTCTTTCAAAAAACATAAAATTCATTCCAGAAAAGCAGGTAATATTGCACAGATGTTCTTAGGACAGATGTTTCTGCACAGTAATAATTTATACACTACCCGCTGTGTTGTTTTTATTTCATGTATGAGTTGTATGATCCATTTCTTCCTAAATCATTGCTAAAGGCCAACAGAGACTGAAAACTCAGCTACTTTAAGGAAGATAAAACTATCCTTACACTTTTCTACAAATCATTCATTGAAAGTGTCTTAACAAACTGTTGGTTTGGCAACATGAGTACCGGCAATTGTAACAGGCTCAGGAAATCTTTCACTCCCACTGCAATCACACTCTTAAACAAAGCAATGTAACCACCTTGTCTCTTGTTTCTTTTCTCCTGTTACACTTCTGTATTCTCTTCCCTTTTGATGATGTGTATTTGTCATTGTGTTGTGTTTGACTGTGCCATAAAACAAATTTCCACTAGGGGACAGTAAAGCTTGAATTGGGAAAAAAAAGTGAATTAACATTCAATACACAAAAGCTTTTAAAGAGGTTTCTGATCGAATACATAGTCAAAACGTGTCTGTTCTTCCCTTTTCTTACCAGGACAGTGAAATGTCTCTGAAGTGCCAGTTCTCATGGTTGGTCAAGTCAGCCTGTGCGTCTAACTCATTTTACCCTAATTCTTACAGCACGTGACACTCTTACTGGAGCCACCTGCTGTGTCTGGCACATGTTATTAGAGGCCGTGTGTAAATGAAGCTGATGAGAACACTTTGACCTCGCTGTGTCCAGTAGCTGCAGTGCCCAGTGGTGTAAGTGCCCATGGGCAGTCCGTGTGCTCCCAGCATGCCGCGCTCTCACCTTGAAGGGCTGAGGTGCGAAAGCCTGGGGTTTCCACAGCACCGCGATCACCGTGCCACCGTAGGGGTCACACAAGAACAAGGCCAACTCCCCAAAGGCATCCTGGGAAAAGAGAAACAGCAGCACTGGGGTTAGCGCATCCCATGTCCCCGCAGACTCGGCCAGCAGACGGCAAATATTCTGGAAGGAGTTCAAAGAGGAGTGTCAAGAATGAGTGAAGGCCAGGCCCTACACACACACACAGGAGTCCAAGACAGCTCCACCCAATTTCGCCTGGAAGACAAGAGAAGATTTGCTGGAGGTCTGATTCAGGTATGCACATCCCTGCAGGAGGCCCACTACTTTAAAGGCTCAGCAAGAAAACTGCGACCACAAGGTATGAGTGGAATCTGAGAGCCAGTGTGCCGCCTACAGGTAGGAATAGTTGGCACTCCTTCACTCAAACAGCGGCGTGTATTTGGAGCAAACTGCCCGCGAGCATAATAACAGTTAGAGAGCCTGGAATGGGACAAACTGTCAGGAGTGAAGACTGGAGACTCCATATTGACAAGACCTGACGTTTGGGGATCAACGGGCTAATAACAAGGCCACGAGGAAAGGAGTACTGAAAGCACTGGGTCATCCCTGCTGCGTCAGAACCTTTCAGGCGGTGTGAAAGCTGAACCACGGGCTCCATGAACTGCTACTGCAAAGTTCAGAGGCTTACGGAGACCACTGTTATTTTTAATCAAATGTGACTTCCACCTATTCGGTTATTGTCCGTTTGGTCATTATTGTTTTTACTTTTCCACAGAGCGCCGTGGGGCCATTCCTAAGAGCTGCCTCCCGTGACAGGCCCGAGGAGGGAGAGATTGAGAAGCCAGGCAGCTGCTCGTATGGTGCAGTTTCCTGCTGTGGTCCGCGTCCCCACAGCTCCTCCACACACCCGGACAACAGTGACAGATTTTACACAACCCTTCCATGGGCCGAGATCCTCTGCTTCCTCACAAGGCTCGGCAAGTCAGAGAGGGCAGATGTGTTTTCCCATAAACCCGGTTACCTCTGGAGGCACAGGAGAAACATACCGTTTATTTTGGCCATGCTTGTACTCATGGAAGTTGTTTTGAATCGCACTTTGAATCCCTCTTTTCCGCAGAGGGCTCAAACTAAAATATCATAAATTGGCAATGGGCTGGGCCCGAGTTCACACCTCCCGGCATTGTGCTGCTACACATTAAAAATTCACAGGCGCAGCAGAAGAGCATGATTATCGTGATTTTTAGTCTAACAGCCCCTCATCTTCCACAGTGTTTCAGTGAGACTGAAAAGCCTTCTAGTGCAGGATTTAAGATTGGTCTTAAAAAGCATCAACTGCAGGATAACCAAAATTGCTCTGCATTACTGGAGGATGGTTCCTAACCGCCAGGCGCTGCTGAGTTAATAACTGTACTTCATTATTTTTGAAGGTGATCTTATTAGGGTGGCTTGATAAGGATCCTTAAGGCTTCAGACCGGAAACCAGGCCAGTCATGTCATTTGACATAGTTGTGAATTTTAGAGGTGACCCACTGCTGTCTATGTGGAGCCCAGCTTTTCTCTTTTACTGGTAGAGAGTGGAATGCCTTCACTCATCACAACATACAAGTGAGAGCAGGAACTGGGAAACCCTCCTTCCTCACTGCTTCACCCGTTTCACTGTGAAGTGGGGCTGCCGGTGTATAACGGCTACTTCATGGTTGTTTTCCAGATGCGGCGAGTTTTCTAAATCCTTAAGGGTCGCCGAATGAATGAATGAATGAATGAATGAATGCCTTTTGCACATATATCTCACCACAGAATGAAAGAGATACCCTTGAAAATGGCCCTGAACAAAATGTAGGAAAAATACCATTAAAAAAAACTAAAATCTATCAATCTGTGACTAAACAATGTGACAGAGAAGACTAGATGAATTACTGGATTCGCCCAACAAACACGCAATTGCAAGAAAACGCCACTGGCTGTGCTTGGGGAAGTAGTTAAAGACAAGGAAGAGCTGGTGAATTCTGACCACAGGGGTACAAGCAGGATCAGAGCCCACCCTCTCCAGTGCAAAAAGCAGCTGAATTTATTTAAAAAAAAAAACAAATTCCTCCCACTCAGGCAAAGATGACTATCTCTACAAAGCATAGCAATTCGTAGAAAACCCAGATTCCATGAGCCAGGTAATGTCAGCTATGTGATTCTGCCTGAATCAATCCCTCTTTTATTAAAGTTGTTTAATAAAAAAAATAGCTGTGTTTTTTCTTGACATTCTTTCTCCATGAAACCCAGTGTTTTGTAACTTCCCTCGCGTGCACACACATTTTCTGCCCCACGCGCCCAAGATGCGGGCATGATATTCACGCCAAAACCATAGAAGTACCCTGGGAGAACCCCACCCAGAGCCCAGGGTTCAAACTGAAGGCCTGCCACTTGCCTGGGGAAGTAAAAACCGGTGACGGACAACTGCGTCCAACGTACCATGAGACAAGATGATTGCATATATTGCAATATATACTGCCAATACTGTAACGTGTATTTTACCACCATGTTCGAGAGTTACAAACCGAAATACTCCACTTGCGCTGAGGCAGACCACAGACTGTCAGTGAACACAAAGGTCAAAGAGGAAGGACATGAAAACAGTTAGTACAGCAGAACGCACTGCTAGGAGCTCATGCTAGAGAAGGGACATTTAACAGGAAACTGCAGCACTATCTTCATATTTTGGGGTTAGGAAATCGGTAGGGATGACTTCATTTCAATCCACATTGAAAGTGAAATATAGACAATAACATTTGCAGGTGTGTACAACAACATACTGCAGTCACTGTCTGCGATTTAGAACGAGGCAACAAAGCGTCCAATGAGGCGAAGCGGCCCTGTTTCATGGTACACTAGCAGGCTGGGGAATACATCTCTAATAATCCAATAGAAATATTGCTCTTGACCTCCAGACGGTTTTGCCAACAAATACTACTTAATTGTTAAAACTCTGCAAGCAGATCACGGTTCTTTTCTGTGAAATGCCAGCCGCAAAACCTGTACTCCTTCTCTTGTACATCATATTACATCAGTCATTACAGTGACTAGTGAGCAGGAAGGGCAGCATCACGCCGCAATTCGCATGAACTCTCGCTCTCGCCCGAGTCCAGACCTGGGATTTGCGACAACATGGAGATCACACTGCACTTTCACACAAAGTCCACGATTTGCTTGTGCTTATTTTGAAATTCGTCGAATTCTGCGATACCGTCAATTCATTTTTTTTTAGGACCGGGATTTAATGACCGATCTGAGAAATTAGGACTGCAGCTCCCCTTTTAACGGGTAATTATATCCCCTCCAAATCAGACGTGACAACTCACACCAGGTCCTGAATTTGCCATCAGATGTGAAAATAAGACTAAGAAACTGGCCATAAACTTCCCCGACAGGCTCTGCCACACCTGCAGGAAGTGTCTGCTTACCCTGAGCTCCGCCAGGTATCGGTCTACGGGGTTGAAGTCTACGACGGGCAGCGCCGGGCCAGTGGGCGCAGAGGCGGGCAGGGTGCCCCGACTGTAGATGGGGTGGGGGGTGTCGATGGCCTGGCCGTGACCGGGCACCTGCCTCGGGATCAGGTGGATCAGGACGTCGTACACCTCCAGAGGGGGGCGGAAAGCCACCTGCGGAGAGGAGCAGGGGTGGGATTCAGGCCCGAGGGGGGGACAAGAGTGGTCAAGCACGGCCGCGGAAGAGGAAGAGCGCTAAAGGCATCGGAGAGATGTTTTTCCCCCCGAAAACAGAAAAAGAACGGCCCTGCCCGAGGGACAGAGAGTAGAGCAACCGCATCCGCAAAGCACAGACCGGCCACCTTCCCGAACTGGATTGAACTCGTCCTCTTCTCTGAAACAGATTCTCCAGATAAACAATCACTAGTGCCAGCAGCACGGGTAGTTTCATTCTTTGTCTTTCTGCTCGTTTCTTAACGCTGCCATTCAGGTAATGCTGTAAATGGCCATGCCAAGGGGGCAACTCCTATCTAAATCTGCACCAGGCAGCTGGAGGGTGAAACTGACAGAGATCAGGGGGGAGAAAGTGAGCATGAGAGAGGGGGGGGACAGAGAGCAGCAGACATTTTCACTGATCACTGTCTCCACATCACAGAGTCCATGATTACTGAACTCCACCCCCACCGCTGGCTCACAATGACGTTGTTGCATGTTATTTAACTTGTTGTTGCTGCTGCTCTGTGTTTATGTTTTTGGTGTTTCCTTAATGTCTTTGTATGGGAGGATACATGCAAATGATCATTTCATTGCACTTGTGCACATGACAATAAACTGAACATCATTCGGCAGAGACAGGCACACTCAGGGACACCCCAGCCTGTGCCTACCTTGACATCCTGTGGCTGAGTAGGGTCCATCAACTGTGTCTCGAGGACCCTCAGGCTCTCCGCGGCCACCAATATCAGGTGCTGCAGGACCTGGGCAGACAGGGAGATGGTTTACTGCATGGCTATATCTCTCTTGGAGGCACATAAAAACATGCAGACAACAGTTTGTCTCGGGAGGAGAGGCAGCGGTTACCTGTACAGAAGGGCCCTCCTTGGTCCAGACAGACAGGTTCTTGTCTTTGGGCGTGGCGATGAACATGACAGGCAGAGAGGAGCGAGATGCAATGAAGTCATTTTTAATCTGCGTGAAATCGGCATCTGTTTAGGAAATAGAGGTGCAAAGGGCGTCAGTGCCCGAGCACTGTCATAATTCTTAAGACTAAGCATGGGGAATAATCTATGTTTTCAGGCAGGAATCAGAGCAGTAACAAAAGAGGAGAGGAGGCTACTCAGCCTGTCAAATGCGTTTGGTTGTTATGCTACAGCCGGTCCTGGTTGTACTGGAATAACGCAGGTTTTAACTCCGTTCCCCTGAAGCTGCCCGGCTTTGAGAGCTTCGATAAAACTGAAGTGAGCATGGCGAGACATGAAAACCACACAGAGGTCCCGAGATGCAATTAAACAAGGGCTCTGAGGTTAAGAGGCAGCAGTTCCTCAGACAAGAACTTCAGATCCTCAGTGATCGGACACAACAGGAGGCTCGTCAGCTGAACTAGCTCACTTGACAGCTGGTATTTAACTGACTCAAGAATCTCGCCCATCCAAGTCTGGAGGGATCTAGAAACTGGGCTGCAGTATCACGCCTTTGTCGTTTACAGAAGTCATGTAACAACTTTCTAAAAGCACCCGATCTGAACATCCGCATCTGACCCTGCGTGCAAGTTTCATGCTTCCAGTTACAATTTTCCCCGGTTTACACTTTTCAACAGCCTTCACAAATGGTAGTCAAATCTCGGTGCACTCGTCTCTGCTCAAGGTGGAAGGGATTAGTTTCCTTTAACCTGTGTATGACATGCCTTTCAGACCACAATTAGACCACAACACACGCTGGGCTACACAGCCAGGTATGCCGTTTCATTGCCCCATCACATGGTCCGAGGACAGAACCTGCAGTCGTCTACACCCCATCTACTTCTGCATCAACCCTGCCATCTACTGGATATACACAATGCATGATCCAGCTACGTCCATGCAGTTATTTACTATTTACTATATCCAGGTGCTGGGCCTGATCTGAAAAAATGTCATGTTTGCAGCTGTTACAAGTTGTGCTGCTCCCCCATCTGCATGCAGATGTGCTAAAGGATTGCAGTATAAATTGTTCACCTAAATCAGGAACACGTGTGCTCAAAAGAGACAGCTGTGGCACTCTTCAAGAAAGCATAAAGAGCTTTACTGGTGGTTACAGCACCAAGAACTGACAACAGAGCAACTGCTTCAGCTCAGGGACAGGCTTCACTACTTACAGGTGCCTTCTGTGAGCATTTACAGGTTAGCGTATTTAAATTGTTGTTCCCAACAGTTTTCAATCTTTGATGTGAACACTATCAAAAGCTCCAGGTAAACACAGATATTGTAGCATTTGCTCTTCGCCTATCAAATGATACCACTGCGTGTTAAAAGAATTTATCATGACCCATGAGATCTGTGGAAACGCTGCGCTTGAAGCTGAGTGCACACTTGCGCTGGTTCCAAGCCATGCGCCTTCATAGAGTGCTTTTGTACTTTTCTTAGGGGATCCATTACACCAGAAACATTCCAATTTGATAACTTCTACACTGAGTTTGCTCTGTGCCACCAGCGACCATATCTACGTGAACCTAGTCTACCCTCTAAGGACTCTGAAATTTGGCCTCACTGATAAGAAACTGGGAAGCAGAGCACTGGGTGGGCTCTGCCTCACAACGTAACGCACCACTTCAAAAGACAGTATGAGGCCATTTACAAGAAGGGCCAGAGCCGACTTAACTTCTTGAGGAGGCTCAGGTCCTTCAATGTGTGCAGTAAGATGTTCCAAATGTTCCATCAGTCGGCTGTGGCGATCGCCATTTTCTACGCGGTGGTGTGCTGGGGCTCTGGGATTAGAGCAGGGGATGCTAACAGGCTGAACAAGCTCATCAGAAGAGCAAGCTCTGTCATTGGGTCTGACCTGGACCCCCTGGAGGTAGTGGCTGAGAGGAGAATGGTGTCCAAATTAATCATGGACCATGTCTCCCAACCTCTCTGTGACATGCTTGTGAGAATGAAGAGCACATTCAGCAATAGGCTGATCCAACCACGGTGTAACAGGAAGCGCTACAGGAGGTCATTCTTGCCTTCTGCCATAAGACTGTACAACACATCCACCTTGTGTCTGGGCAGGGGCAGCACTGACATTGACATGTTGGAATAGACATTAAACTCTTACATCTGTTTTTTCCCCGTTTACAACT